TGCCCATCAACTGGAGCCTGGATAAAGAATATGTGGGTTTTTTTTTTTATAAAATGGAGTACTACTCAGCCATAAAAAATAAGAAATTAGAGACATTTATACCTAAACGGATGCACAGTGAGGCAATACTCCTAAGTGAAATAAATAGGACACACGTGTACATACCAAATAGTTTCTCTAGAGTGAGAAACTGGAAGTGTAAATAAGGATATAATAGATAATGTGAAATAGGAAGAAAAGGGCCAAAGGGGAAGGGGAAGTGGGAGTCGTAGGGGAAAGGAAAGAAGGGAATGCAATTAATATGAGAAAATGAAAAAATGGAAACAAAGGCTTTGTAAATAGGGAGAGATGGAGGGGTTGAAGGGAGGGCAGGGCAAGGGGGAAAAAGTAAGAGCCAAGAGAGATTATTTAAAGGTTCAAATTTCCAATGATGAATGTCAGTATATTGTATACCTAAAATGTACCAATAAAATATGAAAATTTTAAAAAAGAAAAGAAAATGGCCAAGAAATACTTAAGAAATTTTCTAAATATCATGAGCCATCAATAAAATGGAAATCAAAACTACCATGAAATTCAATCAAAACCCAGTTGCAAGGGCTATTACTTAGCAAAAAAGAAAGAAACTCTGGTAAAGATGGGAAGAAAATACAACTCTTATACATTGTTAGCAAAAATGTAAATTAGTACAGCTACAATGGAAAACAATATGCAAGTTTCTCAAAAATCTAAGAAATAGAACTGTCAGATGATGCAGCTCTCACACTCCAGGGTATATATCAGAAGAAAATTAATTCAACATACAAAAGAGACACCTTCCTGCAATGTTTATTACTGCACTATTCACAATAACCATGATATGAAATTAGCCTAGGTGCCCACCATCAGATAAATATATAAAGGAAATATGGAATATATACAAAATGGAGTATTGGTCAGCCATAAAGAAGAATGGGTTTCTGTTATTTGCAGGAAAATAGATGGAAATGGACAACATCCTGTTATTTGAAATAATCCATACACAAAAAGTTGAGTATTATGTTTACTTTCATATGTGGTTATTAAAAAAAGAAATATAAAGAAAGAATAAAAGATTACCTAAAAGTAGAACAACTACTAGGAACTGGGATGAAGACTGAAGGATAAAGGAAGAAAGTGGATTTAGCATGCAGAAGAAGAGTAGATGAGCATGATCAATATTTGATGTATGCACAGATCAAAATATCACAGAAGATCCTATTAATTTGAAAAATTACCGTGTTCATAATTGCAGTAAAATTATTTAATATGTAATAAGAAAGTGATTATGTTTTTTGTAGTTATGGAAAATCAGTGATAACTGTGAAATTTGTTATGTACTCAAAGTGATGTGGCTCTTTAGGAAAGTGAATTTTCAGAGCATAAGAACAATAAATTTAGAGTTCTGTCCATTAACCTTGTCCTTCTACAAACTTTAAAAAAAATGAAAGTAGTCATTGCTATAGTTGATCATCACATCATAAATATCCAGGATATTAAAGCATATTTTTTTTGGAGAGAAGATTCTAGTAGTGTGGAAAATCATTCTGCTACACTGCTAAGACCCTTAATCAAAGGCATGCATCAGAATTCCTACACATTGAACAAAAGAAATGTTTAGCCCATCACAGAAGATTCTACTTCTGCTGGACTGAGAAGTGACTGGACATTTGAATCTTGGGAAATCTCTCCAAGTGATTCTTCTACTTACACTTCTCATCAAAAAGCCTCAGTTAAACAGATGCCAAGTACTTTTACCTATCAACTTTTATTCCATAAAACATCTGACTGCATGTGGAGAGGAAAAAGGAAGAATGAGGGTCTTATATCTGAAGGATTTAGAAGTGTGTTCCATTTAGCAAGAGATCTGACAAAATTTGAGTTATGATTGAGGATGTGTGGAGTACGAGTAGTATATAAATGATGTGCTATGGTTTAGATCTAAATTGCCCCCACCAAGTCTTGTGTACTCAGAGGTGTGGCTTTTGAAAAATGATTGGATCATAGAGATGCTGTATTCATGGGTAGATTCATTCATTAGTGAGTTCAGTAAGTAAACATGCTGTTAGAAAGTGAGTCATGGTCAGAATAACCAGGCCATTGGAGGCTTGAATTTGAAGATTATATTCTTGTCTCCACCTCCTCCCCTATTTCTCTGCTTCCTGGTTGCTATGGGTTGAGTAGCATTCTTCTTCCAATCCTTTTTTCTATGCCATTTCTTCCTTGAAGCCAACCAGCCTTGGACTGAATCCTCTGAAAATTCTGACCCCAAAAATGCACCTTTCCTCCTTTAAGAGTTATGGGTGTTGAGTATTGTGTCCAGAGACAAGAAATCTGAGTAATACATGATACATACAATATCATTAATATCAGTACTTTTTAAATCCTTTGAGTACCATTTTCTGCATCCCAACGTAACTGTTCTCAAATCCTTTTATTAAAACAAGGACAGCATATGGTGCCTAGGTGATTCGGTTATCAAGTGTGTGTGGAATGAGGACATTCATGTCTTTTAATGAATTGACCCCTTTGTTATTTGATAGTGCCTCTCTGTTTTCCTTGTAATATTTACTCATCTAATATTAATATGGCCACCCAAACTTTTTGTTCAGTATCTGTTTTGTGTATTCATTTTCTTCCACTTTTAACCAGTCTCCTCATATTTATGGTATATTTTTACCCCAAATTTGTTTTGGAAGTCAAGACTGATGATGCTACAACTACTCTAGGAAGCTAAAAAAATTTTGTTACATGCACACTGAGGTTTTGTGGGAGGCAGGTTGGGCTCTCAATCAGGTCCAACATGGCTTGAGAGAGCAAAGAATAGATACTGGCTCTGAGCATTTATGTGGTCAGAGCCATGTTAGACTGTATGAGGCTTGGACTTTTTATTCCAAAGGAGGAAGAACACAGACTTTCTCATCAGCTTCTCCAGATAAAAGGCAAGGTATGATAGGGAAGGAGTGAGGGAAAGGGAAGAAGAATTGGAGGGATGAGAGGGAGAGGGACAAAAAAATCCAAAGAATTAAGATATGCTACTGCATGTACAAATTCCCCATGATGAATGTAACTGTACTTCAAACATGTACTTTAAAAAGCTATGAATAGTCAAATATCAAAATATGGAGTCAGATTCCTAATTATACAAGATTTAGTTGAGTGTTGGTTTTTAAATCCAAACCGGCAATCTTACTTCATTGATTGTTTTAAATCGTTTTCATTTAATATATTAATTATATGACTGGATTAAATTCATTCATTTTAGCAGTGCTTTCCCATGTGTTCATTCATGTGTTTCTTTATTTTTACCTGTTTGTCTACTTGCTTTGAGATTGAAGCTTGTTATGATTCCATCTTATCTCCATTGTTGGGTTATTATGCAGTATTTTTTAAAAATGGTAGTGGTTGTTTTGGGTATAAGATATTCAAATTTGAATGGTCACACATGATCAAACAATGTATAATATCAATTACATGAAATTTAAAGATCTTTTAAAAGTATACTGAAAAGTAATATCTCCCAAATTTGGTACTATTTTTGTCACATTTTGCCTGTCCTGGTGGACCTGTGATTCAGACCCCACACTTTCAGGCTGTTTTAGCAGTAGATTTCTGATATATGTCACATGACAGATCTGCTGATTCCATGATAACACTGGTATTCCTCAGCCTTAGAGACTGAGCTTTCTCATCCTGCCCCTCTGCAGCAGCAACTGATCTCTAATGAATTGGGCAGAACAGTTTCTTGTTACACACTAGAAAGAATAGAACATTTTCCTTCTCTTCAGCTTCAGTAGGTCTTCACTAGCCTCATGAGACAAATAAGATTTTCTGTTCTTTCCTCAGTGGTGTAGGACTTTGTTCCTTTTTAGAAAAGGGTCGCAAAAGACTTTGTGCCTGCACCCATCAAGGAAGATAGATTCACCTCCAGCCCAAGACAGAGTTGGTCTTGAAAAGATCATTTATTCCCCAAATTGAGACCATAAGTACTAATATTCTCCCTCCCTGGAATCTGCCCACTTCCACAGTTCTCTAGTCTCCACAACCCAGTGCCTTTTTGGTGGACAAACACCTACTGTACAACATGCATGTGTTGGCTGCTTCAGCCTCCCAGGGCTGGCTGCACTTCTCATTCAGAGATCACTGTGTTCCCTCTGCAGTGGCTTCTTCTTGCCACCCTTGGTCCTGAGCTCAGTCCAGAAAGCCACTTCTTTGTCTTTCAGCCTCTGGGATGCCTGGGTGGTAGCACCAATCTGCAGATATCCTTCCTCCTGGTCATATACTGGCCAATGAGGCAAGCCCTCACCATTGGGGTTCCTGGGAAAAGAAATAAAGCACAATTGACCAAAGTTTCCAGGTGGTCTCCATATTTCTCTTTCCATCTCCCGCTTGGGAGGGGAGGTGGTAGCAGCTTTTGCAAACAAGTATAGTTGGAGGAAAAAGATAATTGAGGATCTGCTCTGAAAATGTAAGTTTGGACCCTCGCTACTTTGTTTTCCTTTGTCCTGGCTGCAGTGAGATGGTAACCTTGCCCATTACATGCTCCCCACCAGAGTTCAGCCTCATCACAGCCATAATATAATGGGCTAAAGCGGCCATGGAAGACACCTCTGAGACTATGGGGCAAAATAAACCTTTCCTTCTTTAAATTGGCCTAAAGTATGTTGTCAGAGCCCTGGAAATCTAACACAGAACATTGGTTTTGAGAAGAAAGGTCCTTGCTGTGATTACACCTCGTGGTGTAGTTTAGAAGCCTTTGGATTGGCTGGTGGGAGGAATTTGGAAATGTTTGTAGAAGTAGGGTACAGAAAGTCTAGAATGTTATAAGTGGAGCTTAATGGATGTTTCAGAGGAGAGGTCAAAAGATGAAAATGCTGAAAGGAATGTGGAAAATAGAGACTGTGGGTATGAGGTTTCAAATGAGAATAAGGGCTCTATTGGCAACTGGATTAGAGGCCATTCCTGTTACATTCTGGCAAAGAACTTGTTTGTTTTCTGTCCATTCCCTGAGATTTTGTGCAAGGGTGAGTTTAAAAGGGATAGGCTAATAAATACAGTGGTGAAAATTTCAGAGGAGCACAGGATTAATGAGTATTTCTGGCTGATTTTAGCCAGTGAGAATCAGGAAAAAAATGCAGAGTGGAAAGATTTGAAAGCTTGCAGTTTTTTCAGAAAAGGAGAGTGTTTAAAAGTTGTGACTGAGAAGGAACACCTACTAAAGAGACTAGCACTATAAAGAACAAATCCATTTGAACATTTTCTTACTATTTTACAATATCTATTATACATTTTTGTCCTCATTTACACTTTCAGTTTCTCACAACAGAGAAACATTTTGGTATTTACATGTGGGGTGGTGGGAGGAAAGAAGAGAAAGAAAAAAATGAGAAAAGAAGGAAAAACTGGAAACAAATTTTTGTAAATAGGCAGGAGTGGAGGGGTAGAAGGGAGGGAACAGGAATAGGGAAAAAACAACAAGATATATCATGTAAAGGTACACATTTTCTGTGATGAATGTGATGATAATGTACACTGAAAATATATCGATAAACTTAATGAAAAAATAAATAGAAATCCAGTATTTTAACTGAGACAATGGAAAGTTGCCTTGAGGGGATCTTGGGAACCTGCAAGACATTACTGACACACATGCTCAAGTATGTAAAAGAGTAAACTCATTTCAATGACTTGGCTTTGAAGAAACCACTCCAGGTACCCGCTGCTCCCAAAGGTGGCTTAGGAAATTATTTCTCTGGGTTTCATTTCCACTTATAAAAACATCCAGACACCCAGAGCATGCTACACCTTTGACCTGAGCGTCCTGACTACACCTCAGCCCAAGGGCAGACCTTGTCCTCCATATGACGCTGATTTTCCAGACAGGCTTAAATTATAAGTGATGGGGTTGTGGGGGCTTCCACTGATATTTCAAAGGACAGTCTGGGAGACAAGAGAATGTGCACCGGGGTCATAGTCCCCATAATCAGTCCCTGATAGGGTGTATGAAGCTAAGAGAGTGAAGCTGAAGCTGCAGTAAAGATCCAAGAATGTTAGAAATGCTAGGAATGTGGAATGTCTACTAAAGAAACCGGAGAAGGTAAGTCAGCCAGCCTGAGACAAAGAGAGGTCATGCAGACTGCAGACAGCAACCATAGAGACAGGGCTACCGAAACCATTGTGGGTCCACAGGTCACTACTAGGTACCTGGGATCTGAAAATGGTGCTTCAGGATCCAATGTTTGGCCTGCTAAGATTTTTCTTGCTTGTTTCACTTCCTCCTTGATATTTTCCAATCCTATCTTTTGGAATGAGAATGTTTACCCAGACCAATTGAGCAAGTACAAACCTTAGAAGTAGGTAATTTGTTACTTAATTTGTACAGGTGCTCACAGTTAAGAGTTATCTTGAGTTTTAGAGGAGACTTCCAACTTGGACCTTTGCCCAATACTGAAACTGTTAAAATTATGGGGAGTCTTCAAGGTGGACAGAATGCATTTTGCAATGTGAAATAGACATGAGCCTTTGGGAGCCAGAAAGGAATATTATGGTTTAGGTCAGAAGTGTTCACCAAAATTCATCTGTTGAAGGCTTGATACCAAGCTAATGATGCTTTTGGGAAGTGACTGCTGCCTAGTTGGAAGGTGGGGACTAGTTGGATGAAGTAGGTCATTGAGGGTATGGCTTTGAAAGTATGTTGAGATCATAGCCCCTTCACCTCTCTGTCCTTTCTGGCTTCCATGAAATAAGCAGCAGTACTACATTTCATGCCATGATGATCTATCTCACTACAGTCCCAAGTGATCTTAGAGTGCATCCTCTGAAACTGTGAGACAAAATAAACCTTTCCTCCCTGAAATTAATTTATCTCAAGTATTTTCTCACAGCAACAGAATTCTTACTAAGGTAGCTCTCATTTTCAGATCAGTAAATTCATAGGGTCAGGAGTTTGATCACTGAAGCTTCAAAGTTTTCTGTTCCCAAAAGGTACATCCAACCACGCATCACCCTGTTCCAGCCTCACCCGTTACGTGCAAAGTTGGCCCAGAATTTCATCATCATCTTGCTGAGATTGATCTCCTCCTTAGAGGAACTACCTGAGTGGAAGATGAAAAAGAAACACTCTGGCATTGAGAGTAGTTGATGGGCCCACAACAGTGGCAATAGTTAAGAGCATGGTAGAAATAGAGAGCCTTGGATTTTATTCTGCACCTGCTGAGTCAAAATTTGTGCTTTAAAATGATCATGGTTACTTGGTGCATACATTCAGCTTGTGAGCGACTGATACAAGACTCAACAATAGGTATGTAGTGTGTCTGTAAGCTGGCTTTCGTGGCCACTTGGCCCTCAGGATCAAAATGTCAACAGAGGATTTCCTTTACCTGCCAAGATTTCAGGCTGCTAATCTTTTCTCAATATCCTACACACATCCACAGTTTCACAGAGATTGAAAAATATCAAAATTTCAAAGATACTAACAATTCACAAAACAGGACGTTACCAGGGGCACCTTCTTAAATGTACATAATACATGTCTCATAAAAGACCATTAGATGGATCACATACTATGTGCAACTGCTGAGACTTAGGTTGTTGAAAACATTTGTGAAATATTATCATTAAATATTATATTATTAAGTATATATAATATGATATATATATATATATATATATATATATATATATATAGCTAGGCAGACAACTGGATGGACATATATGACACTATACATTACCCCTGTTGATTACCCACCCACTCACATTATGATATACTCTTGTGAGTCGGAAATCAAACAGCCGCCCTACAGGTAACCCACTTCTTTTCTCAATGAACTCTGAAAGTGACTATGACTGTGGTGCATGACACATCTTCCTTCATGCATATTAGAGTAGGGGAAAAGTTAGGTTCTGCTGTATATAGTTCAACCCTGTCACTAATCAGTACAGAAATTTGCTCAAGGCTACCAAACATACTGGTATCTAGGCTTCCTAATTTAAGCCAGCAAAGGACAATTACCTTTTAATATTGGGGCACCAAATACTGAGGAGAGCTCATCCCCATGGTCTCCTACCACCATCTTGGGTTTCATGGCTGATAAGAAGCTTGGGCTATACTGGAACTCATACATGTAGGTAGGGGCTCCGGCATCTGAGAAGACATGTATTCATACACAATTCACATTACTAGATACAAACCTGGATGCTGTCAAGGTCCTCCACCTTGCAGGAAGCCACTATTTATCAGGACAGGAGAGAAATAGTGTTACAGGAAATTCTTTGACTTGCTTTGGGCTGCCCTGCTAGTTTAAGTGAAAGTGAGAATTGAACCAGAAGTTTATTAACAACATGAATAGATACAGTCCATCCAACTGACAGACTGGAAGTGTTTTACTGATAACACACTAGTGTTTATTCATTAAAAGAATATCTACAGCCTAATAGATGTCATCTATTCAGCTACATTTTGAGTCTTCCCAAGGTTTCTGTTACCCATGCAGGGAAGAGTAAGGCAATTCCAAGCTCCTTTTCTGAACAGGTGGATAGTCAGATACAAACATAGGCAGGGAGGGAAAAATCTGCCTCGTGTGTTTCAGAAAAACACAAAAACACAAAACTTGGGGTCCCATGTTTCAATCATTTCACATATCCTGGTTCTGCTTGGACAAGTGTGTTAAGGCATTATGATAAGGTGATGCCACAAAAGAGAAATGCTAAGGAAATTTTTCCTGTTCTACCTTCTTTCTTCTGTTGTGCTTATTCACTCTGAAAGCTCCCCAGGCCATGACCCAAGATGCTACTTTTACTGCTAATTGGATCATTGGAGCCAACGATCCCTTCTCCTTCAGGACTAACACATCCTTGGGGACCATCTCAACATTTTGCATTTGTTTTAATGTTTACAGATAAATCTTACTGAGGGGAACATCAGCCATAAGTTAGGCTGATGGTGAAATTTTACACTTTCAGCTACTTGCCTAGAGTGAGAAATAGGAGAAAAAAAGAAAATGAAAAAAATCATTCATAATTCCACTGTTCAGAAAATCTTATACTTCAAAGAACCTAAAGACTCCACCCAAAAGTTTTACAGCTGATAAACAAAATTTCACCAAAGTAGAAGTATTCAAAATCAACATTAAATATCAATAGCTTTTCTATTCACCAGCGCTGAACTAGGCGAGAAATCAGGACAATGATTCCATTTCCAATAGCTTCAAAGAAACTAAATACCAAGGAATTAATATAAGCAAGGAGGTGAAATACCTCTACATTGAGAATTTCAGAAAACTGAAGAATATACTAGAATATGGAAAGACCTCCATGTTCATAGATTTTCAGAATTAATATTGTTAAAATTATCATATTACCAAAAGCAACCTGCAGATTCAATGTAATAGTAAAAGCTATTATATGTATAAAAATTGGATAACCTAAAAGTGAATAAATGCCTATTTTAATATAACCTACCAAGGCTGAATCAAGAAGAAATAGTTTGAACAGACCAATAATATGGAAGGAGGTTGAACCAGTGACAAAAGTTCCCATCAAATAAAAGCCCCATACCTGATGGCTTCACTGATTAATTATACTAATAATTTAAAGAAAAATTAACATCAATCTTTCTCAACCTCTTCCAAAAGACAAAGAAGAGAGAATATTTCCAATTTCTTTCCATCAGGACAGCTTTACCCAGATAAAAATAAGATAGGGATATTACAAGAAAAGAAAATTATGCCTATATAATTAATAATCATGGATGCAAAAATACTTACCAAAATGTTAGCAAATATAATTCAATAATACATTATAAAGATAATCTACTATGATTAAGAAAGGTTTATCCCTGTAATGCAAAAACATTTCAACATACATAAATCAATACATGTGACCACAACATATTATCATCTCACTAGATGCAAAAAAAGCATTTTATAAAACTAACATCTTTTCATGATAAAAAATTTCACCTACCTCAATGAAATAAAGGCCATGTATCAGAAACCCATATGAGTTGACAATGTGCTCAATGGTGAAAAATTGAAAGCCTTTCCTATAAAAACTCAAACTTAATAAGGGTGCTTATTCTGACCCTTCTATTCAATATTGTATTGTAACTCCTTGTCAAAGCAATTAGAGAATAGAAAGACATAAAAGACCTCCAATTAGGAAATGCAAATACAAAACTGTCACTATTTATTGATAACATGGCAATATACATGGAAAATCCTAAATCTTCATTAAAAAAATACATACAGAAATGAATTCAGAACAGCTGTAGGACATAAAATGAACACAAAAATCATAGCATTTCGATACACTGACATTGAACTATCCAAAAAAGAAATCAAGAGAACAGTCCCATTGACACTAGCTACAAAGATACAAAATATCTAGAAATAAATTTAACCCAGGTAGTGTAATACATATACACTGAAAACTATAATATATTGAAGAAATTAATTGTAGGAGACAGAAATAAGTGGAAAGATATCCCATATTCATGGTTTGGAGGAATTAATGGTGCTAAAATGTTTGTACTACTCAGAGTTCTCTATGGATCCTAGTACATCCCAACATCATTCTTCATAGAAACACTGGACCTAAAATTCATATAAAATCACAATAACATTCCAAATCAACATATTATTCAGCTTTTAATCATTGCCATGATACCCAACATGCACAACCATTTTGTGACAGTTTCTTCACACTAGTAGATAAAGAAAGCAGTCAGACCCCAGATCTGTCCTGGACGCAGGCATGAGCAGGCAGCAGAGTTAGGGCAAAGGTAGCCATGCTGTGACTTTCAAATCTCATGCTGAGCCTGGACTCTGGCTGTGGGGGTGGGGCCTGGGTCTTTTAGCTCAAACTCTCAAGAGGTCTCTTGCCAGCCTGAACATGGCTAACCATGGCTGTCTCCTGAGGTCGCCCCTTACCTTGGGAGTGTAACACTGAGATCCCTGAATTGAAGCTGTCCTGTGCCGCTCTGAGCCTTAGGTTCAAACAGCCGACCCCTTCTTGGAATGGTGTCTGACCAAGCACTCTTTCCAGGAGATATGGTGGACATTGGGCTGGAGTCACTCACCAGCTGTTGTAGCTCACAGCATCCACTGGTCCTTTCCACTACTCTATTTCTCCCTGAAGCCCTCTGGAGTCCCCCACTTTACTTTCTCTATGTAGATTTGGTCTTTAAGTTTCTTGCAAAATTTAAAACTAGAAACACCACTTGATCCAACTATTCCCTTTTCAAATATCTACATAAAAGAGTTAAAGACACCATACCATAGTGATGTATGCATATCCACATTTATAGCAGCACAATTCAGAGCAGCTGTATCTTGGAAGTAGCCTGTATGTCCATTAGTAGATGAATGAATAAAGAAAATGTGACATTTATATGTGATGGAGTACTACTGTGCCATAAAGGATAAACTTGAGTCATCTGTAGGAAAATGGATGCACCTTGAGACCATAATGTTAAGCAAAATAAATCAGACATGTTAGCTCAAATATCATGTGGTTTCTCTTATATGAGAAACTCAATATATAAAGAAAGTACAAAAGAAAACACAAACAATAGGAAAAAACTGCTGTAATCCAGCACGGACAATGTATCTAAAAATTGATTTAATATAATTGTCTTATGTGTTTTATATGTTTTTTCGCCTGTTAGTATGGCTGTTAAGCTGTATGTATGACAATTTTGTAAAAACTCATAAGATAAATAAATGAATGTAATACTGGCAAAAAAAAGGGGAGTAGAGAGGAAAGAGGCAAAAGGAATTGAGATGTAATGTAAACATTGTGTACTACGAACATGTACTAATAAAAAATAAAAAGAAAAGAAAAATATATAACAACTATATAAAATATAACAAGTGTTAGCAAGGATCTGGAAAAAGGAAAACATGTTTAAACTGTAAGTGAAACCATCATTAACCAAAACAACCTAAAATTAGTGTTATAATATGACCCAGGCTCTGAGTACTTCTGAGTATGTACTCAAAATATTTGAAACCGATTTATTGAAGAGATGTCTTCACTCCAATGTTCACTGCAGTACTATTCATAATGATCAATGCACAGAATCAAACTGTTTATCAGTAGATGAGTGCATAAGAAGAATGCTATATATATATATATGAATATATATATGAATACTACTAGCCTTTACAAAGGGATAATTCTGTGATCTGTTAACATTCAGGAATGAAACTGGAGAACACTGTGCTAAATGAAGTAAGTCAAGTAGAGACCAACAACTATCTCTTGTTATCTCTTATATATGGAGTGTGAAACTATTAAACTCGTGAAACCAGAGAGAAAAATGATAGTTACATAGATTGGGCATAAGGTAAAGAGAGAAATGATAGTAGGAAGGTACAAAATCTAAGACAGGAGGAACATTCTTTTCATTGCTTTGCTTTTTATTTACTTTTTAATTTCTTTTGCACAGTGTGGTGAATATAAATAATAATATAAAATAATGTATATTTCAGGATTTCTGAAAGGAAATTTCAAGTCTTGTCAGTATAAAAATGTCCCTTATTTGAGGAGTTAGGTATGTTAATCAGTTGAATGTAATATTCTATATATCCATAATTACATTATTTTTACCCCATAAATTTATATAAATATAATTTCTTAATAACTTTAAAGATACGAATGTTCTTTCTCTCTTTTTCAAATATCTTATTATACACTGTTCATTTTCTTTCTTCTCACCTATAGCTGCTCACAGATAATTGCAAGTGCTGAAAGTGAAACACTGAAATGGGGAAGTTACAGTACAGTTTTTGCCATGCTTATAAAGTCCTGAATTTTAAAATCTTTCCAGAGTGTTAGGGAGAGAGGTTTGTACAGCAGAACTATTTTCTGGTTTGAGAATAGATGAAGGAGGGTTCCATGAGCCTCCCCGAAATGATACCTAGAAGATGACACCTCCTGTCTAAGTGAGCTCATCTACCCTTGACTTCATATCCTGTTCGCACAGCCTTGGGTCAGCATCAGATGGTCCTGTAATAGAACTCAGGTAGCCTTCAGTTGGGTGACACCAGCACTCAGGAAAATGGACAAAAGCCAGAAGACACTGAAAATCACTACACCTAACCCTTCTCCATTTCCTGCTATCCCATTCTTTTGGTTTTCTTGGTCTTAGATAACCTTCTCATGATACACTTCAATCCTACATTTTCCCCCAATTCCATAGTGAACTCCCTAATTTAAATCTAATTCCAACATTTAAAACCTTCAAAAAACCATCCTTCAGTACTTGGCTTCTAGTCCAACACAGCATCATAACCTCAGGCAAGAAGTCTGTGTAGCAGATGCTTTGCTGCCTCATTTATATGGTTTGTTGCTGGCAAGCTAGCCCGGCTTCTACTTCCAGCATTTGTTGCTCTTTGCTCAGATTTAGCCTGGCTCAAGAAACTCTTCTATCTGTTTTTGCAGCAGATAAAGATGCCAAAGAATTAAAAGTACCTTGAGATAACCTTCAATCAATGATAAATAGGCATTGGTGGATAAATACCACCTCCCTTGCCACACAGGCAAAATAACCCAGAGATATTTCTCCTGCTTGTTTCTAAGAGCTCCTCAGCTCTGGTTTACCACAGTGGACTTATACTTGGCTATGCATCATTGATTTCTCTACATTTCTTTCCTGGGTCACCTTTCAGGTCTGACCCTCAGTAGTTTTTACATCTGACTATGCTAGCAGGTGGGCAGGTCAGACACTAAAGCTGGTGATTTAGTGTTCCTCCACCTTCTAAATTCTGTGACTCACCTCTGTGGCCACGGGCCACAGTGACAGATGGGACACCAAATATCAAGTCCCCCATCAAGTTCAGGAACAAGTCTTGCTTTTTGACCGGGTTGTCTGTCCCTCCTAAATACTTCTCAGTGGCGACTGGAATCAGCTCCTCAGGGATGTTCTGAAATGCATCGAGAAAGTGAATAGCCCCATCTGGCACGTAATGTGGCTTTTCCACCCAGGAAGCCTCATTAATGGCCAACCTCTTGAGCCTTGTGGAATTCCTTCCTGAAGTGGGAAAGGCAGGAATAAAAGGGACAGAACTGCAGATTTCAGTTTCTTTTGTGCCTCTGAATTTTCTGAGATATTGGGCAAGCCCCCAGCCTTTGCTTGTTTCTCAACCAATTCCTATGATTTCCCAGTTACTTACAACAATGGGATAGGACTTCCACAAGAGTGATGCAGCTGTCTTCTTGTTCATCTTACCTTCAGAAAGTGGATAGCCTATCATCTGTTTAAAAAACGTTTAAGCATTTATGAATCCTCACGGATTAACAGGGAGAAGCAAACAGGCCAACCAACCAAAACATTGTCAAAAGTTCTTTGGGGGATCTTGATAGGCCTGAGTCTTTCAAGAGTGTAAAAACTATCAATGTAATATATGGACTTACATCCAGAAACTCATGGGGTACAAAGAAAACACCTTAAAAATGTGTATCTGTCAGGCTGGAGGCACAATGGTAATTCAGCAGCAAGAGAACATTTAAGCTAAAACACTGTTGAAGAACGGGACTCAGGGACAGTGGACACTGTCTCAGATGACAGAGGAAGACAAAATCAACCATTGTGACTTTGTTCCTTTAATAACCTCTAAGATCTTTGTGAAGTGACAAGGGCAGAAATCTCAGCATGTGATACCCTGTCCTAACCTCTGTACTCATAGGCTTAGCCCAATACTCTCCTGACATTTAGAAGCTTAAATCCATGTCCCAGGCTGATCCCAAACACCTGAAATCCCTGAGAACACTCAATGATTTCAGGAGAAATTACTATTTTTGTTAATAAAAACATGATATACAAAGACAGGCCCCTGAGCCTTATCACAGAGAAGTTACTTTAGAAAACTTGCCATTTCTTTGCTTTTTGAGATATATATCTCCCTCCCAAAACTATTTCTTCAAGCTCTGACTTCAGTTTTCTTTTGAGATTTTTCATAACCTCCCTGAAGTGCAAACATTTGGGAACGAAATTCTTGATCTGTCTGTCAATCCCTGTGGAAGGCGAGGCCTAACTTAGGCGAAGACCTTGTTTCAACTTTCTGCTGTCATAAAGAGAGAGAAGGCTGTTTCTCCCACAGAAGCTCATGGATGAACAAATCCAGTGGTTTGGCCACATGCATTAACTCACCTCTCAAACCCACAGTACTTCCCTGCGCTCAGTCAGCCTGGAAACATCATCAGACTTGGTGTCAGGGATTTGAATTCAGGTCATACTTGATCTTTTCCCTTTGCTATCAGATTATGAAATGAAACCTGCTCTAGTGCGACAACTAGTGTCTAGCATTAGCTTTGGCAGAGGAAAAGCCCTTCTTGCCTCTCAGAAGTCAATTGTAACTCTTGCAGAGGTGAGCTTCTCTGAAATTTTTCAGTGAGGATCCTGAGAGCACGTGGAGATTTGAGACCTGTGGGTCCAACTATACTGTGGAATCTCTTGCATCCCAGGCAGAATCTCCTAAAATCCCAGGTTTTCCCCTTTCTCGGCCTCTTCAATTTTCCATCTGCATAATTATTATCTCTGTAGCCCTCCAAGACTGTATTTTGAGGATAACTCTATGGGAAGATAGATAATCAAAGAGTGCTTGAGGAGAAGAGTTCCCAGGGCTGCCCTGCCCAGGGACAGCTGGGCCATCCAGGAGATTTCCAAGGAAATGACCACTTGTTCCAATGGGGTCAGCTACCTACACTTAAAGAAGGGCCTGGAGAAGGCAGCACTCGTGGAACCAGAGATCAAGGGAGGATCATTGGGGGAGTGCATCTGTCTAAGAGGTTTGTACATTCTCACCATTTGAAGGACCCAGGCAAACTCTTGCTTATTGATTCCCACGATGTAGGGGACAGTGTTGAAATTCTTTTCTGCCAGAATCTCTGGAGTTGTTTTTGGTAGCAGCACTCCATCAAGCACAGTGGGTTTGAGGGAATGGCTCTAGGGAAGAAAGAAACACAAAGTCCGTGACTCCCCTCCCCAGGTAGAACCCATGTGCCCTTCTCTGCCTGCTGAGGGCTTGGCCATTACATAGACCCCTGTGGATATAGGCAGTGGCCTCAGAAGTTCAGGGTTCTAACAATGGGGTCTAAGCCTATGTGACCCAAAGGGCAGAACTTGCAGCTTTTTTCAGTGTATGTTCCACATTCCTGGCATCTCCAACTTCCTTCGGTCTCCATTACAGCTTCAACATCACTCCCTCAGCCTCATTCTTCACCCTCTCAGGAAGTCCTACGAGGGATTTGGAAGCTATCACTTTGGCCTCCCAAGCGTTTCTTTGAAATCTGGGTGGAAGTCTCTGTGATGATACTGGTTTTACAAGCGTACAGAATACACGAGTTAGGTGTTCACAGAGGCATCTTTAGAGAAGGAGCAGAGATAGGACATGATTGTCGTATGCTGTCCAACTAATGTCACAAGAGCTTAGCAACTGTTAGGAGATGAGAAGGAAGAAAGAAGGACCCAGGTTTCCCTCCTTGCACAGTTAATCAGACTCATGACTCACTGTAGTCTCCCAAACTCCTTATGAAATTATCTCTGCCTCCTGAAAATGAGAGATTCTAATGTACAATCTTGTCTCACTGTGATTTGGGGAGGAGGAAATGAAAATGAAAAGAGGGTGGCCAAGCCCATGGGGTGTAGATTTGTTAACTAGAGCAGTGAACTGGGAGACAGGGGAGTGGGTGCCAGTCCCATCTCTGTTTCTCCTGGCTGAGTTACTCTGGCTTCCCTTTCTAAGCTCACAGAATTGTATGCACAGAAGTGACTATGATTCTAGAAAGGAGCAAACTTTCCTTCATCGTTAACTGAAGCTTAAAGAGTTAAGGACTCATAACTTGTAATCATGAAGTCAAAGGTCCTTACCTCTCTAGGGTCACCATGAAAATCCAGACTAATGAGTTTCTGTGAAGACAAAGGCAGAGGATGTGGTGAGGAGCCTTCCTGGGTTACATGTCGATTCCTTGAGCCATGCCCGGCACTATGAGGTTATCCCTACTGGGGATATCTCTTTGGCTGGGCTCAGAGAACAAGGATACTACATGGGCTGCGCTGGACATGAGTACAGGGGAGGGGAGTAGGAAAGGGTTTCTTCAAGGTAAAAGGGGAGCGGAACAGATAAAGTCTATGACCACATATAAAGAGTGGGGCCACCTTAATGGACAAAAGTACCAATTTCAGTGTGGTTTCCAAGAGCTCATCCTCTGTCTTCTGGTGCAGGCAGTGAACCATGATGGCTGATGTTGTGGTTTTGCAGCCAGCAATAACAGCAATATGGTATAGAGATCACAGACAACAGCAGAGTTCAAGAGCAATGTCTCTTTTCTCTGTCAATGGAAATACAGAGTTTCTATCCAATGCCAATTTCTGAAGGTAGCAGAGGATAGCTCCATATACTCTATATGGGAGTTCTGGGTCTCTGTTACTAAATGACATGAGTCAGCTACACAATATTTGTATCTATGATACCTTATCTCTATTAAAATTGACACAGTCTCATTCCCCAGTACCACACAGACACTCAGACACATACACACACACACATACACACACACACATACACACATACACACACAAATGGGCACGATATTTTCAAAATTGAATGTCTTAAAACAGGCCAGTTGGAATGGAGTGTAAGAGCTTGAATCCAGAATTCCACTTTCTGGTTTATCCTACATCCTTTACTTACTACATATTTGGACTCAGGTAAGCCCTTCATTCTCTTTATGTCTCAAGTTCACCATCCATAAATAAGCATAATGATTGCTCCTCTTATGAGGCAGTATGTGATGTGCCTAGGAGGACATCATATTTCCCACTCATTGCAACTGACACAGAATTCCAGGAGACCTGAATAAGCTGATTCACACAAAGGCACACAAAACAATATGAAATGTGATTTAAATATGAGCTCTGAAGAAACCTTTTCTGTTCAGTCACTCTGATTTCAGGGTTGTTTGGAGCATCTTAGCTGCATCCAACAAGAAAGACCCCCTGGGGATTTGAGAAGAATAGAAAAAAGGGTACCCAAGCTATGCACCGTGTGACCTACCTCAGCGAAGGGCTTGATGTCCATTCTGGTCAATTCACTAATAGTGGTGACCACATCACTCTCAGAAATGGGCCTATGGAAGAGGTTCTTGGCCAGGGGAGATAACACCTGGGAGGGAAGTGCAGAGGAGGACACTTTATGCTCACAGGGAGGGAAGTCAGTGACTTACTTGCTCTTTAAGCTTCTCTTCATTTGCTGCTTTGACCAATATATTCACCAGGAGACTCCAGTACTTCACGAACAGGAGAGCTCCTCACCTGTTCACCTGCTTCCCAGGCCTCCCACCTGGACCCGGGTCCCCCCAAGAGAACCTCAGTGGGATAGAGCCAGAGCCTAGACCCAAGAACAGACAGGAAGTGTGTGGCACATGTACTTCCTTACAATCGAAAGTATTAGAAAGACAGCTTCGCAAATATTAGTCACAAGTGCAGTTTCAACATTCCCATTAATAAGAATTTAAAAGAATTTGTTTCTGATATGCGGTCTCACTACATAATTCAGGGTGGCTTTCAACTCACTATGTAGCCCAGGCTGCCCTCGAAGTCACAGAGATCCTCCTGCCTCAGCCTCCCAACCTAGGATTACAGGTGTGTGCAACCATGCCCAGCTGATTACTCATAATTTATCCTAAGAAAAATGATCACAGAGAGAAGAGAAGCAGCTTGAAGCTCCTGCGGCCGTCCCGGGCCACGCCCACGGCATGGTGAGGTCACAGAGGCTTCTTGCAGCCCCACCCCCACCCCAAGCTCTCTAAACTGCTCCGGCGACCGGCCCCAGTAAGACAAGACAAGCAGACTGAAGCTCCTGAGGCCCTCCCGGGCCACGCCCATGGCGCGGTGAGGTCCACTTAGCTGCACGGGCGCATCCCACGCTCAGTCCCCGCCCCACACGCGCCGCCTACCTTCTGGCTTTCCTGCTACCTGGTCCCACACTACAGAGGCACAGGAGATTATAAAGACCCTTGTCCTGAGCTCCACAAAATAGAGCAAAAGTTAGTAACAGAAAGAGGGCTTCTCAGGTTCCTTGAAGAAAACTGAAGCTCAGCAGAAGAGTAAAGAGAACCTCTACAATAAAGGCACATCAGACCACTGTACTTGGTCTGCTGCTGGCTTGCTGAGACTCATTGACTTGTATATGCACAGGGATTCCTATGTTGCCTACTGTGACAGCAGAGACATACCCTGAAGGAGGCCCATAATTTCTATTGCTATTTGCAAAAAAGAAAAAAAATTTTTTTCTTATTTTTAATTCTTAATTTTTACTTTTTTCTTACTCTACAAAGTTTTAATTTTCTTTCTTTTCTTTCTTTTATCTTTTCTTTCTCTCTCTCTCTCTTTCATTCTCTCACTGTCCTACATTGCCCCTCATCTCCCCATTTGTTCTTTTCTGCACTGAATTCGGATTTCTCCCATACTGTTCTTTTCTTCTCTTTTTCCTTCTCTTGATTATCATTAGGTTTAAAGGAAAGTAAGTTTGGTATCTAGCCTCCCTGTTGCTGTTAGGTGATTCTATTCACATCTTTGTTCTTTCATTCTGCCATTTTCTCTTGCCTATAACAACTTCTTAGAGTTTGTGTGATCTTTCTGTGTCTTCTGGCCTCACCGCTAATCTTACCTGTTCTTTCTACCTGTCCCTCCCTCCTCAAATCCTTTTAGCTCCCCACCCCGAAGGGGAAAGATGCTATATTGAAGAGCTTATTCGTTATAAACTTATGTGGGGTTGGTCCTTGGTTTTAATTTAACTCACATAGTTAAAAATGGTAGATTAATAACTACCACAAATTGTCATTTTCTAAGCTGTGCTGGATGCTATGGTATTGCTGACTATGTCATTTGGGCTGACATGTTGTGATTGATCTAATTAGTTTTCCTTCCTGGTATAAGAAAAATATAATAGCTTCAGGGTCATTAGAGTCTCAAAACCCAAACACAAGCCATATCTAGAAGACATGGAAGAAAAGCAATCATTCCACAAGGGTTTAAAACACAAGCAACAAAGATACCTACATTAAGCAATCTTGAAATATCAACCCAAGAATTAAATCAAGGGCAGTACCAAAAACAAAAAGGAGAAGACACTTAAGCAAGGCACAAACACAGGCTTCCACACCACAAAAAGGAAATTCTGGGGGAAATGAGGTGGAAAACACTGATAAGCAACTACTTGGACACCCTGAACTGATAGCACAGGAAGTAACAAAGCCAATTCATGAGGCTCTAGAAAAGTTCAAAACAGAAATAATCTCCCAGATAAATACAGACATGGTGAGCAGAGTGAAAGACATGATTAGAAGCTCTAGAGCAGAAACAGATAAGAAAATAGATGAAATCAGAAACATGCTGGAAGCCATGAATGCCCAGCGTAAGAAAGAAATGGAAACCATGATCCCTCAACATAAGAAAGAAATGGAATCCATGAAAGAGATTCAAAAAGATATTCAGGAGATTAAAAACTCCAATGAAAGCATGCAGAGCAGACTAAGAGAATCTGGAGACAGAATATCAGATATAGAAGACAGGATTGCAACTAAGGACCTTGAAAACAGAGATTTCTTAAAGACAGTAAGGGACCATGAGAAATCAATCCAACAGCTGCTAGACGATGCAAAGAAGAATAACATAAGACTCATAAGAGTCCATGAAAAAACAGGAGAAAGTACAAAGGACACAAAAAAACTGTTCACAGAAATAATAGTAAATAACTTCCCAGACAGAGGTAGAAAGTTGAATGTACAGATAAGTGAGGAATATAGAACTCCATCCAGCCATGACCAAAAAATATCTACACCTAGACATTTAATAGTCAAGATTACAGAAACCCAACAGAAGAACAAAATTCTACAGGCAGTTAGAGAAAAGAAACAAATCACCTACAAAGGAAA